TTAATTATAACAAATATTATAAAGAATATTATTTAATATTATTATTTGAATATAATAATGTAATAAAGAATATTACTTAGTATTATTTAAATTTAATGAAGAATATATTTTGTCTTTTAATATCAAATATTATTTAATTATAATAAAAGGTTTAATTATCTTCTAATACAAAATATTATTAAATTATAATAAAAATATGTTTGTAGTTTGGTGAAAATATTATTTAATTATAGTAAAAGTTATTTTGATTTTATTACTTAGAATATTTTTATCTTTTAATAAAATAAATTCTTTAATTTTAATAAAGAGTATTTTTTTATCATCATAGTATTTTTTTAATTAAAAATATTTAAATTTTAATAAAGGATATATTTATCATTTACCCATTATTCCTTAACTATTTTTAAAATTATTCTTGCCAATCAAATAATGGAATAAGTAATAATAGCAATTTTTATCCTATTCAAATCCCATGAACCAATTTATTCCTTTGGAATGACTATTCTATTCCCATTCTATTCTTTCTAGTGAACCAAGCATGCTGCAAGAGAAATTAAGATAATTCCTCTACCCCAAATTATATATGTAGGAATAAAGATTATTTTGTGGCTACCTATTTTCAACATAATGGGCTGTTTCAGTGTAAATGGGACAATGGTCACTAAAATGTCCTTTCCCACATAAATCACAAGTCACAAAAGAGCTTTGAGCTTTGAGTCATATTGATACTCAAATTATCAAGTTTTTTAGTGAAAAAAGCCAACAGTGTAGTCAAAGCATTAATTACATCAAGCTCATGAATACTAGCAATTTTTTTTGCCACCAATCTCTCAGATGGCTATTGGTAATTATTTGAAGTCATCTCCTCTAGCAAATTATAGGCCACATCAATGAATTTACTCATAAATACACCTCTAGCTACTGCATCAATTGTGGTTCTACTTGGTCCCGGTAAACCATTATAAAATGTTTAACTTATAGGCATTTATGTAACTTATGGTGAAGACATCACCATAGCAAATCCTTACACCTCTCCCAAGGCTCATATAGTGTTTCAAAATGAAATTGTGCAAAGAGTGATATCATTGTGCAACTTTGTTGTTTTAGTAGGTGGAAAAGATTTCAAAGAATTTTTGAGTTAAATCATCTCAAGTACTAGTAGAATCAGCTAGAAGCGAATTTAACCAACTCTTTGCCTTATCTCTTAGCAAACACAGGAAGAGCGTCAATCTAATGGCATTATCAGTAATGCCATTATTTTTTAAAGTATCACAAATTTCCAAGAAATTCACAATACGTGCATTAAGATCATCATTCGACAATCCCCTAAATTGAATAGAAGTTTGAATCATCTGAATGGTTATTGATTTTATTTCAAAGTTGTTGGCTTGGATGGCAGGTCTATGGATGCTAGAATGAAGGCCTTGAACGAGAGGTACAACATATTCTTGCAAGGATTTATTTTCTCCCTAGTCAACCATTATACCAGATTAAGTAGAAGCTTGCAAATTTCTTTCTTAAGTTTTTGAAAAGTTTTTTCAATTTCTAGATAAAAAAGGAACAATTTCCAAATTTATGCCTCTTTGCATAAAATGACCAAAAAGTATCTTAAAACAAAAACAAAATTTGAAGTAAGATTAAATTGTTTGGTATTAATATTAGCAAAAATTAAAAACTTAAAAATAATTACTTGGCAATAGTGCCAAAATCTTGTTTGTCGGATAAACCACACAAGTGCATGTATCGTTTAACTAGAGTTCTAATTTATTTATAAGCCTCTATTGAGTTTTTTATAAAAATATCTATCTCAACCAATTCACTATATGTTTATGCAAATTGAAATTAAGAAAAATCCATCAATAGCAGACTTTAATTTTGGCTACATATGCCATGTAAGTGTATGTTTACCCTAAACATGAATCAAATTAATTATCTCATGCAATTGATATTGATGGATTACTCTAAACTACCTCTTGTAGTTCCATTTAGGTTTCCAAACTAGTTTAATCGGTGATCAAGCAATCAGATGCATTAATAACAAGATTGAAATAAACAACTCAAACACTATTAATCATAAACATAAAAGAATATTAAAAACTCAGACTACGCATTAGGTTCAATTGTGATTCTAGGTTACAAACTTAGTTCAACATAATTTATGTAAACATCATCAAAAAAAGAATAAACATTAAAACTAAACAATAAGGTATAAAGAAAACTAAAAAAGAAAAGAACTCCAAGATTTGTCAATTCTTTGATCTGCAATTCATCCTTTAAATTCCTTGCCTTCTTGCTAGTTTTAATGCCTCTTGTTCTTCAAACAAATCTTGCTTAATTCATGCTAAAACTCTCTCTTAAATCTCTATTTTTTACGTGCTTCTAAAGGAGGGATTACATAGGGTTCATGTTCATGTCAAAATAGAAGTTTAGTGGCATGAGAACGCATTTCTCTTTCCAAATGCCACTATTTATTTTTTCTTTCAAAATTCTTTTTCGGGTGTCACGTGCTAGGCACTTGGTCATTGTGGTGCTGAAGCTTCTTTAATTTTGTGGCAACTTTGTGGATCGAGGCGCCACAACACTAGCTTGGTGGAAGCTGCGGCAACCAAGGCTTTGCCTTGCACACTTTGTTCTACTTCACTAAGTCAACTTCAACATGATTTTTGACCACTTTCCAAGATGAACTAGGTGAAGTTGTAAACATAAAAATTGTAGCTCTGCATCATAGCTTTCCAATGGTACAATAATCATGTCAATTAGACTTCTGTAGTTAAAGATATGCTTGAAATACCAACACATATGCAGTTTACATCTAAAATGCATCTCCTTCATCAAATATGCCCTTTTTTCGAAGCACACCTACAAAAACATAAAGCTAACTTAAATAATAACTAAACTTAAAATAAAACACCATAAAATAACTTAACACAATTGGCTCAATATAATTAAATTAAATAAATCAAATGATTAAAAATTCCTATACTTAAATTAAATTTTAAGAATTTAGAGAAAATCACTCAAAATCATGACCAAATTGATGGCATTTGTGTCTGGACGACATCTTCAAAATATGCTTGGTGGAACAAGAATTAAAACTTGAATTAAACAACCAAAACATGCCTCCACCCATGGATCACCTAAGTGATATTTAACACAAAAAAGCACAAAATTAATTAACATTCAAAAGTTACCTAGCTAAGTGATCTTGTAATCATAATGACACTTCTTGAAGTAATCTTGTGAACACTACAAAGAGAAAGAACCCTAGCCAACTAAGTGTTTGGCCTTCAACAGTAGTACACACAATTGTACACAAACCTTTAGCAAAGGAGAGAATGTTTTAACTATACGTTGTGCCAGCAAAAAAGACAACAATTGCCCTTTTCTTATTTTTCACAAGCGTGGCTGAACCTTTCTTGAGAATTGCTTCATATGCAATTTCCTTTTTCTAACAAATTAGGTTTTCTTCGATTGTGAAAGTCTCTCATATAAAAAATAGTTAAAATATGACTTATATAGTTAGGTCAAAATAACTTCAATTTTACAATTAAGCCCTCAATATTATAACACATTATAA